AGAACTCACAGGTGATACTCATGATTATGGGGTTTATTGGGGAAAGTAATAAGTTACAATTTATATCAGAAACAACTCAAGATACAGTTCTTCAATCAGGACAGCTCCTTATCAGCTGTGCACAAGCATGTTCCTGTCTGTCCTCAGCTTCTGCCCTGCTTGGGCAAATATTACAGGGCTCTTTTAGCTGCTGATAGGTGCCCAGAGAGGCACTCCACTTTGCTAGCAAGCCTCCTGCCTGAAGGCATTCAGCTTTCTCACTCGATGAGATGAGAAGCCCACTTCTCTATCTCATACCAGCCTTTTGGTTCTGTTGGTTCTGCTGCTGCCATCTCTCTTGCATCTGTCTCAGCACAGGGACCTTGAGTCCAAAGGATGTGCTCCACTCTGGGCACTTCCTTCTTGATGATAGTGAGATCCCCCTTTCTGCCTCTGGGGTGGCCCATTTTAAGCCTAGTGGGACAGCAGAACTGACCAGTTCCCATGTTAGGGTTCCATACACTATTTGCCTGGTGCCATCCTCACAAGAGTGCCTTGTACCTTATTTACATTATTACCAAGCTATCCAGTCCTCTTGGTGGGTCACCTTACATTTGCGTAGTCCCACTCAATCATCTAAGGAGCCCTGGTGTCATAGTAGGTAAGGCAATTTGGCTGCTAACCAGAAGGCTGGTGGTTCAAATGCACCAGCTGCTCCATGGGAGGAAGATGAGGTGATCTACTTCCATAAAGATTTACAGCCTTGGAAACCCAATGGGGGTCACTCTGAGTCAGAATCAACTTGATGGCAGTGGATTTGGTTTGGTTTGGTTTGGTACCCAGTCATCTGGTGGGAGTCACAAAGACCATGGCTAGAAGAGCCATACTAAGTAATTGACTGCACTACATAAAGCCAACATTTATACAGTGACACATTGTAGGATACTCAACTGTCCTAGTTTGCCCAGGACTGAGGAGGTTCCCATGAGCTTTTCCTGGTTGCCATGTCTATATCCACTGTTTTTTTTCATCATTGCTAGAACCCAGGAAGTCCTGAGCAATCCAGAATGAGTTGCTTACCCTTCTACCATGTGCAAATTAATTGCTTTATAAATGTTATGTCATAAAATCTTGAAAACAGTCCCGTGAGGTAGGTACTGACATTATTGGCATTTTACATATAAAAAAATGTTTAGATAGATGAAGCAACTTGATGAAGCCACATACTAATTAATGGGAGCAGCATGATCTAAACTCAGACCCAACCAACTCTAGAGCTCAGGAATCTAACCACCATGCTTTGTCCATTTAGACCTCTCCAAAGGCATTGGCTCTTGTTGGCACTGACTCCTCCACTCCTGGATCATTGCTAAATGCCATCCCATTTTCTCCTTTGTAACCAACACTTCCTGCAGGTGGTTTGGCCCCCAGCAAAGGGAGAGACCAGAACATGGAGCCAGGTCAAGCCCAGTCTTGTATCTGGGCATAGCAGAGGCCCCTCCTTCCCTTAGCAACTGACGCTGAAACCTGGTGACTGGCCCCAAGAACTGTGTGAAACAGTCCTGGGAGGAAGAGGGAGAAGAGTGGAGACAGCCAAGTGGTTGCTTAGTGGGGTGCTTGCTCCCTCTTTTCTCAGCATGAGTGTGTAACTCTACTTCCATTTTTTACTCTACAGTGAACTCAGTGTGTTCCTGAAAAAGTGCCAAGAAAAAAGCTATTTAGTGAAAAGGAAAGGTGGCTGTTGCAGGAGGAGTAGGAACTGGAGCAAGAAAGGCCAGCAGAATCCCAATTCTGCCTCTTCGTTCTCCATCTTCCCTTCCTCTCTGTTTCTACCGGGGACCTCCTCAGGAGACTGAAGTCTATGACCTCAGAGAGGCGGCCCTGTGAACAGAGCTTCTAGAGCGTCACAGAAAGTTCCATGTTCTGTATCATCATACCCACTGTGCTATAAAGAAGGGTGAATTTCAAAGCCACTGGTCAGAGACAAGTGTCCTTGGAGAAACTGAGAGCTATTTATTCTTTTTTTTAATAGGTACAATTAAAATGAATCCTAAGAGTAACATAAATTGCTTATCTCAGAGGGTAAGTGTGACTTTTAAGGCATGTTTCTTTCTTTACCTGTGTTTTCATGGAATGGATGGGTGGGGATGGGAGAATTGTTCTATCGTAGACCAGTTCCCTTGTTAGAGTCTCTTAACTGAGCAAGTCCGTTAATCACATTTTACGCTTTCTCTGAGTTAGACTTTTGTATGTCTTTAAGTTTTGCTGTGAAAAATTCAGGTATAGATACCTGTTGTTCTTTTCCCTGCCCTTTCAAGGCCATTAGATCAAATATTCCATCCAGCAGTTTCCATGTATGGCTGCACATTAGAATAACATAGAATCTTGGTCTCTACATCCTTGGCTGATGTGATGCCTACTTTGGATGAGGTCAAGGGCAGAGAGACAGACTGTAGTAATTTAAATCAACATTGCACATTCTTCAACTTGAAAACAATAGGATCAGTGGTTCTCAAATTCTTCATGTTTGAAGTGGGGCCAAGCTTCTCCGCTTTTAATAAAGTTCCGTTGATGAGGGTGATTCACCAGGAGTTTTGGGAACCTGGGAATGAATTAGGCCATTTGATCAATATACCCATTCTATGTTTTTAAAGATCTCAGGCTCAGTGCACATTTTTGGATATGGTTTTGGATGGTTTTATTTAATTTAAAGGTCAATAACTTCCTAAAAGGAGCTCTGGTGGCATAGTGCCTAAGGTACTTGACTGCTAACCAGAAGACTGGTGGTTCAAACCCACCAGCCACTCCACAGAAGGAAGATTGCGCAATCTACTTCTGTAGTGATACCACCTGGGGAACCCAAAGAGGGGTTGCTATGAGTCAGATCCAACTTGATAGCAGTGATTTTTTTTTTTTTTTTAACTTCCTAAAGGAGCCCTAGTAGCACAGCACTCAGTTGCTAACTGAGAGGTTGGCAGTTCTAACCCACCAGTGGCTCTGAAAGATAAAAGACTTGGTGATCTGCTTCCATGAAGATTCCCACCCCATCAAATTGATTCTGACTCATAGTGACCCCCCTTTGCATTTCCAAGGCTGTAAATCTTTACAGGAGTAGATTGCCTCATCTTCCTCCCTCAGAACAGCTGGTAGGTTTGAACCACTGACCTTCTGGTTGGCAGCCAAATGCTTTACCCGCTGTGCCACTGGAGCTCCTTTCCATAAAGATTGTTGTTGTTGTTGTTGTTATGTGCCGTCGAGTCAGACCCGACTCAAAGCGACCCCTCCTTGGGTTTCCAAGGCAGTATCACTACGGAAGTAAATTGCCCCATCTTCCTTCCGAGGAGTGGCTGGTGGGTTTGAACCACCAGCCTTCTGGTTAGCAGTCAAGTGCCTTAGGCACTATGCTACCAGAGCTCCCTCCATAAAGATTACAGCCTAGCAAACCCTATGGTGACCGTTCTACTCTGTCCCATAGGGTTGCTATGAGTCAGAATCGACAAATAACAACTACCTTCCTAAAGTAAGTTGCCATGTAATTATTACTTGCCCTTTCCAATGTGTTGAGATGCAGTTTGGCATGCATTTAAAAGCTCTGACTTAGAAGTCAAGCCTCTGCTCTTGTCTGGCTGCAATGTTACCTATCCTCTCGGAGCCTTAGTTTCTTCAGCTAGAATATGGGTGTAAAAACTCTCATAGGGTTGTATAGAGCCTGGCACATAAAGATTTGAAACAATGGTAAATTATATATACTTTTAGTATTATTTAATGAGATAGGTGCTCCAGGGGAAATGATGAAGGTTAATTGGAGGTAGTAGTGAGCGAGGGGTTGATTGGAGACAGAGGTGCTAATAGCTGACTCCTATGCCTCCCTCATTAGCTTGCTGCTATAATTTGCCTACCCAAATAAGTAAAATTCATGTAGTTAGGTCTCCTCCTAAGTAGGAGTTAAGTCCAAAGTCAATGCCTATGATGAAAATTCCAGAGCACCAGCATGATCCTGGAAAAGTCCCTCAAACCTTCTTTACTGTGTTGTTCAGCAACACCTTTCAATAAACCCAACCCAGGAGTTTTCATCCAGTTGTTGTTGTTGTTGTTATGTGCCGTTGAGTCGGCCCAGACTCATAGCGACCCCTCCGTGGGTTTCATCACTATGGAAGTAGATTGCCCAACCTTCCTTCTGAGGAGTGGCTGGTGGGTTTGAACTGCCATCCTTCTGGTTAGCAGTCAAGTGCCTTAGGCACTACACTACCAGAGCTCCTTGCAGTTTCTCCATCCCAGCCTCTGGTAATATAGTTGTCTTGAGTGTACATAGGGGCTGGATCCTAAGACAAAAATACACATGGTACTGTAGTTCAATACGACAGTCACTTTCTGCTCTGCAAGTTGCTCACCCCTGGAAAGACACTTGGGAGCTGGAGTGACTGGGGTAGCTGCAAGTTCACTCCCCCTGCCTAAGGCTTACTCCTGAGTACATCCTCACTGAATGGAATGGTGGGCTCAAACACCCACACAATTTAAATTATATTTTGTTCTTTTTATAGGCAGCACAGAGAGTTGCTTGGATGTTAAACACACATAAAATGCAATATGACTGGATGAACAAGTTTTTAATTAGAGCTTTGCATATGTGAAATGCAAGACCCCTCCCCCCTTTTTTTCCCCAAGTCAACTCCTTTAATCATAATCCAGGGTAGGTCCTTCACAGCATATTTGCTCAAAGAGAATGCTGGAGGAGAGAGATTAATGGTTAAAAAAGAAAATGTGTGGGTGTGAGGAAGGTGTTTGGTGGGCAGAACTCGGCTACTAAAGCCTTTTCTGGGGACGTCGCTAGTCCTTACCGTGCTCTCAGAGGCTCGGGAAGCTTTCCTAACTCCTGTGACTTTATTCTCATTTCCTGCAGTCCAGCAGACACGACTCGATACATCACATGAGCCACTCCCAGAACCGCCCAGAGCTTCCCCCTCTGCCTGCTTCCTCCAATGAGGAACCATCGGAACTCTATCAGGTATGCTCACCTGGCCGTCACTCTTCTGCTGAGGGTGACAAGGTGAAGAACACTGCCCTGCCACTCAAGGTAGTCAGTGGTTTCTACTGGTGGGGCAAAGGGTCAGACTGGACAAGTAAGATAGGGGCTTTGGTCATTTCTGCCACCAGAAGAGGCTACAGGCGTGTGGGAGAAAGAGCCTTGCAGTCATACCAAGATCACTGACCTTTTCATTCACCTGTTCCTTATTTAAACTCTCTGAACTTTTGTATCTTCAATGGTAAGATGAGGTTAATTATATCTGCCTTGTAGTCATCTGTTCTGGTTATCTAGTGCCGCTCTGACAAGAATATACCACAAATGGGATGGCCTTAACAAACAGGAGTTTATTTTTACAATTTGGAAGCTTTAAGTCCAAGTTCAAAGTGCCAGGCTCTAGGGGCTGGGTGAAAGCCCCTCAGTCTTGGGCCTCAGCTCTGCCTCTAGCTCCTGCCCC